TGGCTGCTCAGAAGCTGGCTCTGTAATGGCTATGGCTTCCACTGCACCTGAAATTTCCTTCTGAGGCTCGTTTGATTTTTCCACAATGTTCGACTCCTGGAATGTATTAGTTGCAGATTGAACCTGCAATATCAAATGATTCTATAATATAATCGAATAGTAGTTCATTTCGGTGCAGCGGTCAGGACTTTAAGATGGTAGCGCGATAATCCAAATTTAAGTTTTTTAAGGATGCGTCTGGGTTCAAATTCAATCTCGAACAGAGTTCAGAGCTGGTTTTCGTAAGAACTCGCATATGCTTGGATCTGAATGCTAGAGTGTAGAGAATTAAACCCCTCAATTATGAGTAAAATTTCGGAGTATTGGTACAATAGTTTATAATACAAATTTTATCATACGTGACTTGGAACTACCAAAACCAAAGCAACTATATATCAGTGAGATGTAGATTGCCACAACCAAGCAATCAAGACTAAATTCAATCTCGAACAGAGTTCAGAGCTGGTTTTTGTAAGAACTCACATATGCTTGGATCTGAATGCTAGAGTGTAGAGAATTAAACCCCTCAATTATGAGTAAAATTTCGGAGTATTGGTACAATAGTTTATAATACAAATTTTATCATACGTGACTTAGAGTAGTTTACACTTAGCAATTTATATGACATAACAGAAATGAATTATAATCCAAGTAAATTATAATCCAAAGTCGATGATCGAGAAGGCTTATGTAGTCTCCCACATATCAAGGTCATGTGCATATAATATATATATATATATATATATATATATATATATATATATATATATATATATATACTAGTTGGATTTCACGTGCAATGCACGTGTTTTTTTAATTTATGTTTTTATTTATAAAGTTTTGTTATAAAATTATGGAATGTAAGTAATGGATTATTAAGAACTTAAATGTTATTTACATGAGAGTAAATTATGGCTACATAAAACATAGAATACCCAATTAAAACAACTGACAAAATATCTTTGTATCTGATTGCACTTTTAGTGTAAGTTAGTGGAAAAAATTGTTCAATGCAAATTCTTGAATCATATTATTCTGCAATCATCCAACATATGCAAACAATTTTCTATAATACAAATAATTTTTTCTATCATTCTTATCAATATGCATTAGATGCACCAGCTTGTCAAAATTTTCTGTAGTTTATAGCGACCCATTTTTTTTGTCTTTTTTACAATCTCAGATTTTCCAAAATTGTTTAGCTTAGAATTGGCAGATTCACCATCCTCCAGCTTAGTAGGACTCTCTCGCTTAATAGGTTTTGTTATGTCTATGACTACAAACCTATTAACGAGAGAGTCCTACTAGCTGGAGGATTGTGAATCTGCCAATTCTAAGCTAAACATTTTGGAAAATCTAGATGAAAAGACAAAAAAATGGGGGGGGGCGGTCGCTATAAACTACAGAAAATTTGACAAGCTGTGCAATCTAATGCATATTGATAATGAATGATAGAAAAAATTATTGTTTTATAAAAATTGTTTTGATATTGGATGATGCAGATATATATTCAAATTGCATTGAACATGTTTCCACTACTTACACTAAAAGTGATCGATCAAGAGAATTTTCAGTGTTTTAGATTGGGGGTATGCTAGTTTTATGTAGCCTATAATTTACTTCATGTAATAATTTAAGTTTTATAATTCGTTACTTTACATTCCATATTTATATAACAAACTTTATAAAGAAACACATAAATTAAAAAACGGTGCATTGCAGTGATATAACTAGATATATGTATATAATAGTATTTATATTCATTATATGGATAGATAATATACTATATATACTATTATATATAATATATATATATATATAATAGAACCATGAACGGTGTGTATAATATTGAGGTTAAAGTATAACACACATATAAATGTGTGTGTTATTATGCGCTTATAATATAACACTCAATATAAACCTAACTAAATATTACCAGCTTGATCTTGATGTTTCATTGAGCTCATGTAACTTGGATGAAGCTTGTATTGATCTTAACTTTGATAGCAAGGTTGCACTCACTATTCGCCAACTCCCTTTGATATGATCGTTATTGCGCAATTCCATCAACCTCCAACTCGGTTGTTTACTAGATAAATACGAACACAATACTAGACAACAAATAGTCGTATTTATGATAGCAAAGGTTTCACTCCACTCGCTTAATAGGTTTTGTTATGTCATGCATCATTTCCAACAACGATATTTTACTATTTATATAACCAAAGTGTGATTCAAACATTAATACCAGTTCTCTTTTGTTCCTACAAAGATCAGAATGCTACTTTACTCTTAATCTTCTCTCAACTGCCCAGGCATCGTCTTTAAATTAGTCTAACGACTCTTAACCATGCACTGGAAAACTGACTATAAACAACAGACTATTCAACAAAGACACAATGGTGGCATACTTGAACATTTTTTAAAATTGAAACTATAATTCCATAGATTGGAGCTTTCGCTAGAAAACTATACATAATGCAATGCTAAAGTTTCACAACTTGATTGAGAATCTTGCTGATTAAATCGCATATCTCATATGCCTCATCAGGAAATCAAGTGCTAAGATGATGTCTCGATAAGCAAGAGTACACGCTACTTTCTCCAAAAGTAAAATAAAATATGCAGCAGAAGGAAGTTTCATATTTATAAATATAATAAACCAGTACGATATTCATTGACTTAGTGACCAAAATATGGTTCATATGGACCGTGATAGCTAAAGTCCCCCAAGATCATGAAGTTGATGAAATAAATTGGACAGAGAATCAACTTGCTGCATAGTAATAAAAATGGGACTTTGTAGGAATCATCAACATACATCAACAAGCGTAACAAACCGATAGGCTGCTGTACGATTATGGATCATAGTAACGAAATCTGTCTTCTGGTCACATCGGAGCAGGTGGGCATCACAGCTCCTATCTCTTTGTAGCATATTTTGTCACATGCGCCGCCAACTCATATTATATATACATGTAATATAAGTTGGGGCTTATTTAGCAAATTGAACTACTGCATTAACAATTTACTTTCCACAAAGGAAATTTATCAAAAGCTGCATTAACAATTTACTGCATTAACTCATATTATATATACACGCATTTTGTAACAATTTACTTTTCACAAAGGAAATTTATCAAAAGCTGCATTAACAAAGAAGGAGACATCTCAATAGAAGTACCTTTGAAGATAAAGCAAATGGTGATTATACTGTTATGTCTACCCATAAATGTTTCAAGCTTGGTTTACTAAAAGACAGTCATGTGTGAAATATTTACAAATAAAAACAAGATAGTGATCTTGAACAGACAAAATGTGTTCCATAGACATATAATTATAGGGAGAAGTGACAATGAAAACTCAAATAAAGGAATCTGAAAATTTTTCAGAAACTGAAATGCAAGTGGTAGATTGTTTCCTTTTTCTTTCTTTTGGTTTGGGGTAGTGGGTGAGTTGTCCAGTAGGGAATTTGGTTGGAGGAACTCATACTGACCCAAAGTTTTCACGATCATCCAATATCAAGATAACATCATAGGTCTCTTCAAAGTTCTCCCCAAAAATTCGAGGTGGCATCGCCAAAATGTTTGCATCTTTTACCTCTATGCCCACATCTATTGATTTTTTAACAGGAACATCCTGAGTAGTCCACAAAAAACATATGTATCACTACAAGCACATAGCATCTTATGTCTAGAAAAGGAGAAATTAGCGTAAATTTTGTTCAATACGAAAAAAAATACAAGAGGGCTGAAGTAAAGATACATGTGAAGTGCAACCCCTCAGATTGAAAGAACTCGTAGCTACATTATTATGGAGTGTATTTTCATGATAAGCAGCAGCAGAAATAAAACCTTTCTTGTTACCTGCATGCAAGTATACCAATAATTGGGTTGGTGAAGAGAAGATTGAACAAAATGCAACGGAACTATCATCTATCAAACCTCTAATAAAATTATGAAAAATTACCTGTATCCATGGAAGAGAAAGTAATAAATTCTGCAGTTGCAGAATAACTCTCAAGTTCGGCAGGAATGGAGTCAGAATCATAAGAAACCACTATGTCATCCCCAAATTTCTGCAAAACAACAATGGGAAAGGTATCTTTTTCAGATCCAGAGCTTCCAAGACAACAAAAGCTGAAATATTTCATTAATAATTGTCAAAATTAAAAGGCCTATGTATAACCACAATCCTTTAATCAAGCTTTAATCAATGAGATAAGCAACTTTCCTCCCGATTTGTAGTCCATCCAATGATAATTAGTGAAATATTTCTATTTAGTGAATCAAACTACAACTGGGACATGCATAATTGTGCTTATGTTAGCTTTCCAAGTTCCAATAAAAAACATTATAAATTGATAAATTTGCATTATGTTGTCGAGAATTCTTAAATGAAACTGTGCACCTAAAAGTATGGCTGCTTGATACGACAAACTCAATTTCTAGTCAATTTCTGATAAATACTTTTTTATCTAGTCAAAGTATGTGATGCCAAGTTAAAACAATACAACCAATAGACATATCGTATCAGAACCATGACAGGTCCAAACACAATATAAATTGAACAATCTATTTGACATGGCTGGCCTGTCACATAAATAATCAGTGGATGGAAATTTCATGCTCTGCAGAAAAGCATAAATCAGAAATATTCAGATTACATGAGTATTTCAGGAGTAATCTTATCCTAGAAACATCATTCAATTCCTTTTGACAGCTTGAACTACTAAAGGAAAACCTTGCTTTTCTTTCAGTGACAGCAGAATCCAAATGTGATACTGTTTGCTGATCAAGAGAGCTTTGAGATCCATTTATTGCAGTCAACAGAGCAGAAGAATCATTTAAACCAGATCTCAGGATGCATTCACGTGCAGCTTCTTGGCCTTCTTGAGTTAGCATGTATCTAGAAAATAGTAGAATAGATACTCACATGTTTATATGATTCCAAATTTTGGGACGCCTTCAAGTGCTAATGTGTGAAACTTCTCTAAAAAGGAATTTAAAATAGCTAATTAGAATTAACGACAAGGAAAAGAAAATAAGTGAGTTATGGTCTCATATATTCATCAGCATTTTAGTGATTTCTTCATATCGAAATACAAGTCAGTTGAGGAACTCACTAAACAACCCAAAATAGTCCGCAGCTCCCAGAGGTCTATCACAGAGTTCTTCAAATGAAAAATATGCACATACATTATCCCATAGTGGAACCTAAAAAAGATTAGGTCCATTAATAAATTTTGATATACTAAATGAAAGAAAAAGGACTGCTATTGAAATATTAAAAACCTGCAGCTTTCTTCCCATAACAACTTCCACAACTTGTGGGCCAGGAGTTTCTTTCCCAAATAACTGCTGAAACTTCTCTTTAAGAAGTCCAGAGTATTCATGTCCAATAAAATTGAAACCCTGCTCAGCCTGCACATAAAAATAGATATAAGTTGCTGACAGTAATTTGTTGAATTCCAAATAAAAATGAAGAATTCAGTGAAACACTTACAGAAGTCATTTTTTGGTAATCTGTGGAAGAACTAATTGCATGAACAGTGCACCTTTCCTGCATCGATGGGTTAAATTAAGGTAGGTTTGTCATATCATGTGCATGAAAATAAAAGTGAAAGACAAAAGAAGCATAATTCAAAGTAGTAAATTCTAAAATACCTTTAGGGTAGCGATAAATGGTAAGAAAAGATCCCTCTGAAGACCACCTTCGTAAAGATTATTTGGAGCACGATTTTAAGTGGAGAGCAAGACCTGGATTAAAACTAACCATCTTGAGGTTAAAATATAAACTGAAGTAGTAGGTGCAGACTGCAGTCAATTGTGTGCACAAAGAATAATCTAAAAGGTTCAAAAGGAAAGTTGAGTACATACAACTCCTTTGCTGAATAGATGCCCAAAAAGATGATTTAATATCAAAGCATCAGCAACATCATTCACCTACAAGTTACCATTTACATCAATACTAAAACCATAGCAAAATAGAGGAGATACAGAATCTAGCAAAGTGACAAAAGAACCTACCCATGTATTTCTAACATACCATAAATTCATCGAGACATAAAAGAATTGACTAATCTGATATTTCCCCTGCAACAACTTCGAGCGGATCTTCTACTCCTTTATGCATCTGCACTCATATACTAAAATCAAATATACTACAGAAGTCATAATAGGAGTGTGTTACATGTTTTATGAGTCAAGTATAAAGGAAAAAATAAGCTAAAATGATACTCATGTTAGATCTTAAAAGATAATCACAGAATAAATCTACAATACCTATAAGCGACTATGGACGCTCAACATAAAATCATGGAAATGTATTCTTGTCTTCCTCGAGGTACATGGTCTGTAATATAAGAGTAGTTTCGTAATAACATCCTATATCATAAAAGGTTTCTCAAAGCCCTCCTTAAAAAAAATCATCCTTGTTATCTTAGGTCTCTCCTTCCACTATTTTCAAAAATATTTTCTAAGAACAAATCCGAAAAGTGTGTGTTGGGATCAATTACGAACCCCAAATGCACTCTATATGTCAATTGTTTGTCTTTACAAATGTAGAACACTGTGTCGATGATACTAATTTTAACAATTCTATTGGTAAATGAGTTGACCTGTTTATATTTTTCAACATACAACTTTTATGTGTTTTATATTGACTGTACAATGATATACCACTCTATATGTAGAATTTGTTACCTTGATGATGTCTGTGACAATATTTAGTTGACATCACAATACTCTTATATAATATTGTGTAATAGTCTTTGACATGTACTATTCAAGCGTTATGATACTAAATATATTAGTTGCATGTTCATTTGCTTTCTGTTAATTCATCATATAAGGAAGTTTGGTTTAGTTTTGTAATTTCAAGGTAGTCACAGAAAAATACATATTGCAAATTAAAAAAGAGTAGCATGAGGTGTCAAATAAGTAATTAATCATAGAATTAAAAGAAGCATCAGAACTTAAAACAAGTATTCAAAAATTCCCCTTCATGCATAATGTGCATAATTTCAATTTTAGAATTCACAGGCGAAATCAAAAACTGAAAAATAAAAGATTTTAGTTTGTCGCCTGCTTGTCTTGTACTATACTTGAACTGAATATTCCTGCATCCATTGCTGGAAATTTGGTGTGCGCGCACACTAAAAAACACACATGTATCTAGAAAACATAATAAAGACAGATGATTCTAGTTTTACTTGAAAATGGTGGTAAGGCAGCTTCCAGTTATTATGATTGTGGTGCAAAATTGTCTAGAAATTCCATGCTAATTTATCATTCAGTCATAGAGTTGCGAAAATAAGTTAAATGATGAAGCATCAAAATGTGGATAACGCATATATTTCAATTAGAATAAATTTTTTACA